AAGCCCCTTATCACAATCCCGTAATAGAGTACTAAGTAGGATATTAGAAAAACCTCATGAAATGTGGATTGTACAGATGAATCGTCTAAGCCACTGGTGTGACATTGATGAACGGAAACAGAGAAGGAATAGCAACAGATCAGGAACTTTTTCTAACTTCATAATTTGGCATTGTCTTGAGCAGAGATGAACAAATCAGTATATTTTTAAACTTATGTTGTCAATGGAATGCACAACATTGTTACATATATTATGAATTGAGCATAATACATGTAACAATTTAATACACCAACATATTACATTGATCTTATAAAACTAACATGATGAAGCTTATAGAATAAAGTTCAAATTTTGCTAATATAAACTTGAAAAAGACACAAAAATATATGTAAGATAAGTACCAAATATGTAATACAGAAACCGAAGTAAAGAAAACAAATAAAATAAAATAACTATAATTATTAGACACTTCAGTCCTCTTGGAGCAGTTGGAGTTCAACTTCAATAATAAATTTCTTCATCTCCTTATTATATTTCTTCAAAATATCCTCTTCCTTAAGCGGCCATATATCTCCTTGTATAACTATAGTTATTATTAAATAATAACATTTACATTCGAAAATAGAATAGTCATTTAGAAAATTATGAAATGTCAGTCAGAAAGTTAGTCTCTCATAATGGCATGTATTAATATTTGTCAGATGAAACCGTTTTAAGTAAGATTTACATTGTTTTTTAAAAACTGTGTCAGTTTGTAATGCGCAACTTTGATTTTTTTGTCGAAGTTGGTAGGTATAAATTATGAAACAAATTTATGAAGTGGTCGTCCTTAGGTTGTTTTTTATCATTTTCTAGTCCAAGTATTTATGATGCCAGCCAAAATGTATTTAAGTTGTTATGTTGGCAATAAATAAGTTGTTAAGTAACAATAAATACAAGGATAGGTTGAATTATTTAAATAAAAGCTATTCATGAATCATAGCTTAAGAACAGATGATCTAGTGTAAAGTTTCCTAACACGAAGAAGACTGTGGGCCTCTAAGCTAAAAATTAAACCATTTGCTGACTGTACCCCAGTTCTAACTTTGTGGCGAACCGACCATGAAGAGAAGAAGTTTGAAGGTTATTAAATTTTTATGAGATTAAATTCGTTTATTGAATATTCTGAAGAAGTGTAAAAAAAAAATGAAAATAGATACGTTATGACATGTGTATAAATTCTGTGAGCAAGTAGATAATGGATCATGTTTGAACTAAACTATTTTTTCAGGAAAAAGTGAAAGTTAAATTTTGAAAATTAAAGGTAACCGTACACGACAGAACTGGAAAGAGTATGCTAAGTGGAGGAATGATACTTGAGAAGCCAAGAAAAACTCATGGGAAGAATTTGGAAAAAGCCTGGACAGTGACTATAGGGAAAATATAAATTAAGTCTGGAAAAAAGTAAAAGCACTGAAGGGAAAACATCCAAAAGATGAAAGCGGACATATAATCACAGACCCAGACGTGATCTCGGAATGAGTAAGGTCATGATTGTAGCAAGAGATGAGGGAGATATAAGAATGACATGAATTGGAGAAGAGCTGGAGAATATAGATTACTACATCTACCTTGGAACAATTTTTAACAAATCTGAGAAAATAGAATAAGATTTCCAACAAGATTAAGAAGGCAAACAGTATATATTACCAGATTTGCAACACAATTGTGGGAAAAAGAGAGATAGGAAGAAATATCAAACTTCAAATCTATAAAGCAGTCTATCTCACAACATTATTATATGGTAGCGAAGACAAGCACTTAAGCAGGATTATGGCTGCTGAAATGAAATTTTTAAAAAGAATTTTGAGAAAAAATAGGAGAGACAGAGCAATGAATGAAAGAATAAGAGAGAAACTCCTGATGCCCTCACTGAAAGCAACTATGGAATGCCGGCAACTTCAATGGTATGGGCAAATGTGTAGAATGGGAGAAAGCAGAGTACCAAGGATCATCTTATGGAAGCGAGGCCTAGAACAAAGTATCTCAAACATATACAGTGACTAGGTGAGGAAAGAGGGAAAACCCTAGACCAGATGAAGGAATTGGAGAGAGACAGGTATGAATTGTCGAAGTGGCTGGAGACTCCACCACGCTGAATGGCACACAAGGAGGAAGAAGAAGAATTAAAAGATAAACATCATAGAAAAAAAGAATTGGAATGAAAAAATAGGAATTTGTATATTGTGCTGCAATCTTCAGGCAAATAATATTAAATTTTCAACACAATAGGAAAATAAGTTATCATAAGTTTCTTAGTCTGAAGCTGGAATACAATTTATCATTTTAAAAACCTATTGCATGTTTGATTATTTGAATTACCTAATTTAAATTATTTTGTAGAGTGTGAGTGTGCTTTCTCTGAACACTATTATAAATGTCCTTGATGTGACAGAATGTAATATTTCTAAATAAACAAATAAAAAATTTATTTTCACTTTTTTCTATTGTAGTATTATGGCCAATCATTTCCATAACATTCAATTCCTGTTTATTTAATAATTACTACAATGCAATGAAGATAATACAAATGGAAGACAAAGGTACTTGCAACCACAATCAGAATCATTTATTATATTTTTGCACATAATCAATGTAGTTTCTTTCTACTTAAAAAAAAATATAAATAAATAAAATAAATTAATTTATATGTAAAATAAAAAAGAAATTAATACTTTGTTATCGATAAAAAAAATAATGAGAATGCTTGTGATCTACTTGTTTATGTCAAAACACATAACTCTTTTTCCTATTAATAACTGACATTAAGAACAATGTTGATATTTTTAAAAAATGTTTATGGAATATTAACAGCAAATATTTAACATTTAAATATATAATAATTAAATATCTAGCATCTACCTACACCAAGAAAAATTACACAAAAGAATTTATTTATCTTACAAAAATATTTTTAAAATCAAGCAACATTCAATTTCTTAAACAGCATATTTAAATTGACTAAAAATGAAAGTTATAATTTAAAATAAACTTTCGTTTAAACTATGTCTTTATATATAATCAACAATTGAAATTAAAAATCAAGAAATTAAATAAAATTGAAGATTTGTTAAAACATTTATTAGTGAGAGAGAGCGAGAAAAAAAATTGAAGACTGACAAGAAACATCTTCCTAATTCAAAGTATGTTATACAGTTTTGATACCTAACATATACCAACTAGGATATTAAGTAGTTTCACAATTTTCAAGTAGATAAACAATAATAAAAATAAGCATAAAAAATAAACACTATAACATACAGAACATGGATTGCCAACCTTACAACTAGGATCCTTCAGTGGCAATTCAAAACGTAACAGACACTTGATTCACAAGGCACAAGCACTTGGATGATAACTAGCTTAATTTAAAGAATGTAAGTAGATATCAAGTGTATAGATATATAAGTCGTTTGGAATGAAAGTGATATAACACCAGTACACGACTTCTTCAATAATTTCTCAACTGAAACTCCAAGATACATATTTAAAATAATAGAGAATGACATTAGAAACACTTTTTTTTTTAAATAAGTTAACTTTTTGATACAAACTATAAACTAACTTTAACATGGCAATTGCTAAAACAGAAATATAAATAATGCACCGACATTTATTAAAAAGAAATTTAAAAAAACCTGTCGACTGAATATTTTAAGAATATCAAAGCAAATTTTTTAACTTGCAAATTAATATAACTTAAGCAAGAGCAGAAGATAAAACAACTTTAATTTAGTAAATATAGGCAGACGGTAGGTATTGAAAGGTTGACGACCACTAGTACAATATATATAAATTTATTTTTTATTTTTTCAAAATCTCGAATAGTTTTTAATAAATGAAAATACAACTAGAATTCTATTCTACATCAAATGCCAAGCTTATATATGGCACTGTAAAAATTCATACATATACTTCCACATCGTTCAGTGAGCTTGACAAAGCTATTGAATAAAAATGACTTCAAATAACAAAAACTACTAGTTATCTCTATCACAGATACATAAATATAAATAAAATTATTAAGTTTTTTTTTTTCTTTATTAAGGAGAAAAATATTCCACATCTTTGATTTACCATTAGTAATAATTGATTTAGTAAGAGATTAATGATTCTTGTATTTTTTATTTTAATATATCTTGTTTTACAAATGGTCTGAATTTAAAATAAGGATCCAAACTAAATTTCGTTTAATTTTATAAAGCAATAAAAGAAAAAAAAAGGAAATGGAATTTTTAAATTCTTAATACCACCATTCAAAATTGTATAAAACAATGACTAATATTCCCAAAGAATAGATTGCATAAATATAGGAGAGCATAATTTATTCAATCCTCTCCTAGTGCACAAAGCTAGTGAAAAAGATAATACAATTGTTACAAAAACCAAATCAACTAATGTATAAATGTATACTTTACTGTAACAATGCCTAATACTGAGGTCGTACACATTTACAATGATAACAATAAAGTATCAGTATTATACAATATTTACAACAACATATAAACTATAGTCTTAAATATACAATGATTTACGATAAACGCGGAATAATAAATAATATAGTAATTTAAAAATCCTATAAGAAGTTTTGAATATTATTAAATATTACAAATATAATAAGCAAATATATGGTTAAAATAATATTATATATATCACAATTTATATTCCAATTAAATGATAAGTTATCCCTTTAATGACTGATTTTTTTCAGAGAAATAATAAATTTAATCAAATTATATCTCCTCTATTTTATTTATTTTTTTTCATCTCTACGATAGTTCATTTCACATCATTAATCACACATGTATCATATAAATTGTAATGACTACCAAACTTATTGGTAGTGCGTACAGTTGATAGATATTAGATTAAGTTTCAAATAAGATAGTTTCCCAGACCTGTGAGCTGCAAATATACATGAAATGAAGGTAAAGGTAATAATTAAGTAGGAGGCATAGTACGTGTTGGTGTTGTTGGAGTAAGGCCCATCGTCTTGCAAACCCAGCCAGCAATATCAACGTTTTCATTTTCAGATTTTCTAATCCATTCATGGTTCTATATAATATAAATAACAAATAAAAATGTGAACAAATCATATATGATTATATATTATAATAAAGACAAAGCAACGTTGAAAATAGGCGAATCCTTCTAAGAATCATGGAAAATTATTTGCATAAGTTAGGTTTTAAGTAGAGGAGAGCAGGGCTAAGACTTATGTGGGTAGGTTGTTCTGAGTGAGATACCTCCAAAACGAACAGATATATATATATATATATATATATATATATATATATATATATATGTATATATATACATATAATTTCAAATATATATATATATATATATATATATATATATATATTTAGTATATATATTATGTTATAACATAGTTTAGATTATAATTAGTATTGTAAGAATCACAGGACATTAAAAAAACTATTATATATATAAGCAAATATATGGTTAAAATAATATTATATATATCACAATTTATATTCCAATTAAATGATAAGTTATCTCTTTAATGAGTGATTTTTTTCAGAGAAATAATAAATTTAATCAAATTATATCTCCTCTATTTTTTTTTTTTTTTCATTCTATGATAGTTCATTTCACATCATTAATCACACATGTATCATATAAATTGTAATGACTACCAACTTATTATATATATATAATAGTTTTTTTAATCCGTGTATGTCCTGCGATTCTTATAATACTAATACTAATCTAAACTATGTTATACATTCCTATAAAGACTATATCAGCTGTTAATTGCAAATTGAGATAATGTATAACCTGAAAGTACAACTTAGATATATAAAGTAATTATAAGTGATTATTAGAAAAAACTAACCTTTTAAAATTATATTTTTTATTTCATGATTTTATTAAAATTATAAGACTTATTTGACTGAATACTCTTAAGATATTGTTGATTAGTCTTTAAATAAATGAGTATATATTTTAAAAAAATGTTTTCATCATATATGTTTCCAATAAAGCTAGTGACATTACCCCATTTGGGGTAAGTAGTTGACTCTTTGTTTTCCTGAATACTAAATTTTACATAAAAACATTTGTTAAAGGTACACCTTTAAGTCTTTCAGATTTATAAACAATATATGTACAAATTATAAGCTAACATAAATTTTGTTAATAGATCATTTTCAAAGAAATATTTGAGGTTGTTTAAAAATCGGAAATTTTAGCCCTGCTCTCTCCTACTAATACAAGGCATATTCCAAAACTAAGTGTAATAAGATTTTTGTTGGCAAAATGATCTTCAGCTACTGAAATCCATCGTGAGTTATGTTTAGTAGTTTATAACTGAAATAATGAGTGACAAACGAGTTTGAAAATGGTGTCGAGTTTCGAAATGGCCGCATTAATGGGCACAATGAACAGAGGAGAAGCAGGCCCAGTATTCGACCCAACGACACTGTTGATCAAGTGAACCAAAAACTCTGAAGTGACCGGCGATTGACGATTAATGGTCTGGCTAATTAATTCCTCATACCACTGATCAAAACCAAAGAGAAGATTCAAGATTTCGGTTGGAAACTTTTTGATCAAACGCTGAACCGTCCCAATCTTGCACCAGACTATTTCCTCTTTGGCTAGATGGACAACTATTTCAAAACTATGGTGGAATCAAGTGTTACCTAGTTCAATTTCCAGGCGGCAGACTTCAATACAGAGGGGTTAATAAAGAAGCTGGTGCAGTAATACAGAAATTGTGTAGAAGTGAACGTTGATTTTGTGGAAAAGTAAAGTGAATAAATAGTAAAATAATACTGTTAATAAAAACCTTTTCTCATGAATAACTATACTCATGTTATAACCAAATGGACATTAGTTATAAAATATGTCTCGCATTAGACTTCAACCTAAACTGGAGTCAATTTTGAATAAAGAACCTTCAGATGATACAATAAAATTTCAAAAATTATATCAAAGCAAAAAAGATGGAACTGACCTTTGTAGATATCTATAAATACTGAGCATTTTCTTTAAATTAAGAATGAATATAACAATAAAACAAAAACGTAAATTTGAAATTCAGGAATATAACAGCTTACCATAAGCGTTTTCAAATCAGCTCTCTCGGCTGGATTTTTCTTCAAGCAACGATCAACAAAATCTTTAAATTCATTAGAGAATATACCAGAAGGCAATTTAGGTGGAGGCTCGTTGACAATATAATCAAGAAGTTCAAATATTGCCATAGGCCTCGGTCCACTACCATTACCTAAAAACAAAATTATCATTTAAATCTGAAAATATAAACAATAATGATTAGTAAAAAAAATTGATGAGTTCTAGAGAAATCTAAACAAAATAAAAACTAGATACCAATCTATTTGCATTTAAATAATAGATAATATTACATGTTAGATACCAATTATCTATCAAATGGATATATAAAGATTAAATTTCTTTTTAAAATATGAAGGAGATGGCAGTATATTTCTTAATTACTGCTAATTACTGAGTTTCTAAAAATGATGACAAGAACGCAACTTCTACTCATACAAAAATTTTATTAAAGGTTTGACATTCACGATTGCTTAAATTCTTTAAATAAGGGAATGAGCTTGCTTGAAAGCGCAGCTGAGTTGAGAGAAGCTGAATCAGTTTCGAAAACCGAATCAAAGGTTTTTAATAAAAGGCCGGCCACCAAAAGCTAAGCGCAGTTTAGCGGCGTAGCAACGGTCAGCTTTGGAAGCTGAATATATTTCAAATGTTATGCTCAGCTTCCCCTACCAAACCTACTTACTGCTGTCACACAACCGCTTATTTTCACTGCACAACCTCTCAAATAATTTTATTTTGGTTCAGTATAAAATATGCAATGGATTTGGAAGAATTCTTAATCGAATATGTAATGAAAAATAACCAATTTTCTTTTCAACTCTGACATGATCAAATTTTCTATTTTTTTTTTTTTTTTTATGTTATATATGCTATATATTAAAAAAAAAAAAAAAATTGTATGGAATATGAGAAGGATACCGATGCAAGGCAAGTTGCTGAATGATCTTCTCTCCACAACGGTATCGGTTGTTGAACCCCTCTTGTTACGCTCAGTTCAGCTGTGCTGTCAGGGACGAGTCAGTTTAATTGAGACTTAGTCATTTTGGAGAGATTTCATTGCCTATATTTCAACCTAAACACGTTTTATATTCGTCATCTTCGGAGTCCTTATTATCTATCACCCATGACATTTAGATCAGTTGACTAACTATCAATAATTCATATAAATAATATATTAGCTTAGTTATATTTGTCAGTGGGATCCTGAGATGTTCCTGTGCCTCCCACCACTCTTTTGAGCTAGGGTGGTTTTTCCCTTCCTCCCATAGACAATATTTCCTAAGCACATTCCTTTACCAAATAATCAACAATCAGCGTATGTTCTATGTCTACAAATTTCCTACTATTCAAGTCCTTTATCCACTCCCTTACCACAAGATCTCGACCCTCTGACCTTTATAACTCTTTTCATAGATCTACCTCAGTTCAACAATCCTTTGTTGCCCGCTCTACCACTTCCTGGAATTTTTTTCCTCTTCAAATCCCGACATGCTTAAATATTCTCTTCACACAACAGTTAGGCACTGAATAACCATGTATTTTGTAGCAAGATTTCATTTGTTATTAGTCACGTTATACCTGTGAATACACACTTAAATTTCCTATAATTTATTTTTTAACGCAAATTGAATTATTTATGTTTAACTACTGCAGTTGGTATAGAGCATGTGGTGTATACTTTGTTTATTTCTACTCAATATTTTTCTTTTTTGTATGATTTTGTAAATTTACTTATCATGGGTGATAAGTATTGAGTACTTGAATACCTTCAGTGTTCCTGAAGATGACGCCTGATGATGACCTATATATTTGGGTTGAAACATCGGCACCAATAAAAACTTTATAATGATTGCGTCCTGAATATTTATCACTCATTATATGTAGAACAGTCTACTAACTTCCTTCAATAATACAGTAAATTTACTTAAATATTTTTAGATAACAGAAGTGATTTTTATTTTTATTATTATATTGATTTTTATTATTATTATTTTTTTTAGTAAGTGGTTTTGTCAACCTATTAGAGACTACTTTATTTTTCTTTATCATTTAAATTTAAATATATTAGGTAACCTGTTTTATATTTATTTTCTCATAACATTTGGTATATTGGTCATAAATACTTTACATGTTTCTGTAAACAGTTGTTATTCTCAAAGCACATTGTTCCAGAATAAAGTTTATTTTCTAATTCTATTAAGAATGTCTATTCAACAAACACAATTGTTGAAACTACTTAATAATTACTATGTTGAAGTAATGGTTATTTTGCCACACTGGGAGATATCCCTTCAATTTAAAATTTAAACAATGAGAATCATCCGTCTGTACTGAGTGTTGTACTCGCTGTGACCTATTGGGTTAGATGAAGATAAGGATTATTCATTCGTATTTCTCTTACTTTTGAGAGAGGAATATAGAAGTCAGATCTGGATAGGAGGAACATCATCACCACTTTGGCGATATTAACATCCAAGAAAGTTAAAATATGTTAGAAAATTTGTTTTTAAAAATTAAAAATATCAAAAAGTTGTTATTTATATTATCTAAGATGTTCAAGAGATCTCAGAGTAATTCTCTTCTTTTTTTAAGATTTTTTTTTTATAACTTTTACCTATCACTAGATAAGAGAAATCGCTTCTAATAAATATCCTGAAATATGTTTTTAATAATAAATAAACCCACCATGAACTGGAGAAACTTGTGTTAGAGATTCGTCATCTTCTTTTGATGGACCAAATATTGCTGCAAGTGTTTTGGCATCTGGAGGTGGAATAGGATACATTCCGATAGCCATTTCTACAAGAGATAAACCTAGAGACCATATATCACTTTGAACTGAGTAATGAGTTCCTTGAAGTCTTTCTGGCTGAAAATGTAAAAGGGCAAGAGAACATTATTCTACTGTCTAAATTATTCAACATTATTACTTAAAAATAAATTATACACTTACAGACATATAGGATCTAGTACCAACAAACGAGTTTGCCATAGAATCAATTAATTGGCCAGAAACTCCAAAATCGCATATTTTAATCTCACCACCACTGTTAACCAGAATGTTGCTTGGCTTGACATCACGATGCATTATTGCATGTTTATCCCTCAAATAACTAAGTCCTTTTAGCACCTGTGAAAATGAAATAATGACATAAATAATTAAGCTAATTCTCAACTTTAATATTATATCAGTAATTAAATAAATTTTTTTATGCCAAATAAATGCTTTTTATTTAGGAAACAAGTTCACAATAGAAAAGATAAAGTTTAATCAGTTAAACCAGTTCAGACGCGAGTTTTAAATAAAAGCAATTGGTATTTTTAAATAGATTATTGAAGCCTCAGCACGTAAGGTGTTGATAATATGGTTTTATTGAATATATATGCATACACACGCATATTTTTAACACACAAACACCGAAATCCACAAAAACATATTTAAAAGTTAATCTATATCAAAAAGTGAATTTTTGCAATAAACTGACGATATTTTTTATGTTACAAATGTTTTAATTTTATTTTAACCTTTACTTAATTTTTTAGTTTCCAAAAAACAAAATGCTTATGAGAAAAGCATATACAAAAGGAAGGTAGTGATTATTTAAATTTACTTACAGCTGCAGTAATTGTTCCTAAAATAGGTTCAGGAATGCGGCCAGCTTTTTTCAATATCAGGTCTAGTGAACCTCCATCCATGTACTCCATGCAAATACTTATTTCTCCATCACTGAAAATGAAAATAAAATTGAACAAGCCGTTTCACTTAAAGTCAAAGATAAAGAAATCGTAAAGTTCATTAGATAAAGCTACTACTGTTAATTTAAATAATAGTTTTTTTTTTTGTTTTTGTTTGTGTGATGTGTGGTGTGGTGTTGCTGTTGTGGTGCGGGGTGGGCGTTGGTTGGTAGGGTTGGTGTGATGTATTGTTAGGGGGGTTGGGGTTGTGGGTGGGTGGTTTTTGTGTTACACTGGGGGGTGGGGGTATGAGGGTGCTCTGTGTATACTTTGTTGGTGCACGTATTTTTGACTGTGGGTTCGGTAGGGGGGGATGGGATGTGGTTGGCGGGCAGTGTTGACGAGATGGGTTGTTGGCACATTGAGGGATGAGTGGAGGCCTGGACTGTGGGTTTGAGGGAGGCATTATGGTTGGTGGGTGGAGTGGAGTAAGGAATGGGTTAGTGGGATGTGTGTGGGAGGGTTGGTATAGAGGGGGGATGTGAGTTAACAGTGGGGTGGTGGGAGAGAGATTTCAGTAATAAGGGGATGTCAGGGTATTTTGAATGGTAGGAACTTGACATTCGTAGGGTAAGTAACGATCCTTTAGGAACTGTAATAGAGCAGTATTTTTTAAAATTATTTAATTTTAATTTTACAAATACAGTAGCTGTTTTACAGTTTATGGTTTTGTATTTCATTACAGTATTACATTAATACAGCTCTCTGTTAAAATAAATTTTTATTTGAAAAATAAAGCCTCTGAAATAAAGATTGATTTAGAAAATTCAATCCATAAGCAGATAATGCAAAAAATTTCAAGATCATTTGTATCCATGTATCTTGTTTTTTTTCAGTTACAGTCACATGTAAGTTTTAAGGGAATACGAAACCACATTGATTTCAGCATATATTTCCATCTCGCAAGTTTCAAAACAGAAATGTTCGAAAAATTTTCACAACCTAAGCAGCATGAGTTTTAAAATTTAATCAAATATTGAGAACCCATCCTTGGGTTAAATATCAAAATTTCTGATAAGGCTAGTGCTGAGTTCATGGATGGTATTATTCCAGCCGAAGGACAGATCTGACGCCATCAATTATCTCAGAGCTGATTTTAAGAAATTCCCTGTACTACTAATAACTAAAATAATATTGTAATAGAGGAGGCCAATAAATGATAGTAAATAAAACAATTTTTTTTTTTTTAAATACCTGTAAAATGCTCCATAAAAACCAACTATATGAGCAAAGTTGCATTCATGAAGTACTTTTAGCTCCCTTATGATCTGTTTCTTGATTGCTGGTTTGACTTCCAAATGAATTAACTGAAACAAGACACTTATACAGTGAAGTGGTACTTTTATTTTGATATTGTTATTGAAAAATGCATGCATTCATTACCTTTCTGGCCATTATAAGACCACTTGACTTGTGTTTCACTTTCATTACCACACCACCATTGCCAGCACCCAGTTCACCTAATTTCTCGAAATCATCATCACTTAGCTCACCAATTTTTTCTTTTTGGCATAAGAAAAATTCCATTCTTTTCCGCTGTGTATCATCCATATCTAATTCCTCTAATCTTTCTTGAAGAACTTCAATGCTTGTTTTTCCAACTAATGTGCTTCTTCTATGAGGAAATGTCAATAAATGTAAATTTTAAAATAAGTTCATGACAATAAACGATTTAAGTACAAAAACATTAATTAGACTTACTCAGAAGCCTCTGATTTTGGAGTTAAAACAGGGACAGAAGGAGACAATGGTACTGAAGCTTCAATTGATCCCGGAGGTAAAGTAAGATTTAACTTATTTTTGGACATTATTTGAAACACAAATACTTTCAAACAGCTTATTTTTTAGCTGATAGGCGGAGTTGAAGGAAAACACTAATAAGTCACTGAACAACATAAAATAAACTAATTGCTTATTAAAGGTTAAAAAACAATCCCAATATCTTTCTAAACCTTATCTGAATATTACATTATATAATCTTTTAGTCCAATGATTCCGAATATTAATTACTTACACCCCACAACTACCGGCGGACCCAAAAGGTTGACTAAACAATTTCGTACACTAGCTGCTCTTATCAATACTACTACTACCCTTATCAAGTATTGTAGGATTTTGTAATGTTAATTTATAGTCAATATAAATCATTTAAAATTAAGTCTATGATAACAAATATTATTTATTAAATTTTTTATAGCTATTGAACTTAAAAAAATAATTGTCGAGGAGAAAACAAAAATGTGAATTGCAATAATAATTTATTCATTTACATGTACATATTTATTAATTAATTATGTTTGTAATCAAGATAGTTTTATAGCTATAGAATTGTTATTTCAAATAGAACTAAATAAAGAGTTTACAGAATCTACGAATTGGTGGAGAGGGGGGGGGGAGGATAAAGAGTCAAAATGATATATGTAAAGATTTTTATATCTTTACATATATCCACTAATAAACAAAAAAAAAAAAAAATGTAATTACATTAACTTTTCTGGCATAGTGACAAGGACATAGTGAAGCTTGTGTGATGCGAAAACAGATTTTCTTACTTTCACATAGTTATCTTTTCTCTCTCTCATTCACCCCTTTCTGACACCAGGATATGAATACGTAATCTTACATTGGAAATCGAATAGCTGTAACTTCGTTAATAGTTGTCCGAAATGAACAATTTTTATGCAGTTTTGTAGGGAATTTCATTTAAAAAAAACCCAGGTGTTTTTGCACATAGACAGACTAATGGCTAAAAATGTGTTTTTCGGACTCAGGGGACTCTGAAATGTATAGATCCGTCGAAAAACGCATATCGGAAATTTGACCCGATCGTAATACTTTCCTTACCTAGTATAGGTAGGAAAGTAATAAAGACCATATAGAGAGCTCTGTAGTAAACTTTTATACCATCACTAGCTAGTTTTAGAAAAATATTTTCTGACCGTTCTCTTCATTCATTGTCAATAGTAATCTAGTGTTCTCTTGCTTAATATAATACCTATGGGAACTGGAAATGTATTTCTTACATTTCCAGTTTCCTTAAAATTTAATCATTTCATGAAAATTTCATAAGTGTTCATAAGATTTTTAGGTTTGGGAATTTTTAGTATGATTGGTGATGTTTCTTATTAATCTCCCTTCATAGATTCCTTGGTTTAGTGTTCCTTGGAGAGAGGGTTGTGTGTACAATATATTTCCAATTTAATAATTGTGAATAGTAAAGTAGTAGTAAGTAAAGATTTTATTGAATTAAGCGGCAAGATATCTCTTATACGTGAAGGCATACAACTCAGACCTAAAACCGAAACTGGAATCCTAAGCTCATTATATTCTTACATAGCTCTCGGAGCAGGTATTGATCGTTATTCCCATTATTAGTATTACAAGTTAATCATAAGCTACTTATTATACATATTTAAATTTATATTTTTGTTTACTAGAAACGAATACTCAAAAAGGACCATCAGTTAAAGATCAAGAAGCCATTAAAGTTGCGCAGAATTGTATAAGGGAGTGTCATCTTGAGCAGCTTATTACAGAATCTAAATTTCTGCGCATTGATTCCTTACAACATTTTGTCAAGGTATTTATCATCTTTTTTATTCATGGTGTAATACATATTGGTTGATGAAATGAGTGTATGTCTTCCTGTTTACTGTTGACGTAACTAGTAATAAGTACAAATAAATGATTCGTCAAGACCAAGGCCAAACGCAATTGTAAATGTAGTCTTATTCATAATTGTGTGCATTATTCATTATTTTATTTAGCTAGTTATTCAACTGAGCATTAGAACAATATATATTCGAAACAAAGCTTTTTTTTTTTAATGTTGTTGTTGTTATACTTTTTAAAAAAATAATAAATAAATAAATCTGCCCCGTACCTCAAGTAATCTAGAAATTCTATTAGAATACTCCAACGATTCATGGACCCTCACATCTAAACATAATTCAAAATTATACAAATTGAAGACGCAATTCCTGCACATGGTGGAAGAAAAAAAACAGGAGAAAGTGCATACAATGCTGGTGATAGATTAACATGGCTTATTTTGGTTATATTTTTCGAACTGAGTGGTCATGCTTACCTTTGAAAGTAACGTCGGTGGTGAATTTGGGAGGTAGATGCCAAGAGAATGTTTTTGATGGCAAAGGAATCCATTGGAGCAGGAAGTGGCAGTTGGTATAGGATGTGGAATAAGCATAATTATTATATACCTCATTTAAAATTTAAATACGTTTGATCAATATTACCACTTAAAAAATACACACATTTCTTAAAACTATTAATGGAGGAATATCAGTTTACTTTAAACTCCATGAAATCAACGACTGACGTTTCTCAAGAAAACTGTAACTTATTTTCTACCTCTTTGGCAATATTGGGCTTAATCGATAATTTCTTCTTATTGGAGTCCCTAGTGTCCATGTGAGGTTCATTTCGTCGAACTTAAGGTATGCTGGTTCTATCCACTTTCATCTAATGTATATTACTAAGATATTATTATCCAAATTGACCATTGTAATTAATATAACTAGCGTTTATTTTTAAGAAACATTAAAGAGTTTTGTTGTAAATATATTTTTTGAGGGAAAGTTCAGACCGTGTTCTTGGATTTAGGTTAACATTAGCGTTTCTAAAGCTATTTTGTATTAATGTTTATTTTCATGTTTATAATATTTATCTTTTTGATTGATTACGATAGTTAGAATCTGTTAGTGTTCAGTTAAATTATCTTATTTAAGTTTTGTTTCAGTTCATTATTTACAATTTGTACAAGTTTATTTAATTTAATTTTTCAGTTTCATCTTATTCTTTATATGACTTTTTTCAGCGTTCAATTATTAAACGGTCATTGTTAAACTATAACTAATGTTAATGAAATAACAATTGTTGGTGTACCACTAATATTGTAAGTTATAGTATGCCTGAATCTACTACTGAAATGCTGTATGATTATTTTGTCATCATTTGAGTTCTATGTTTATTTGGTTTGTGTAATGATATACATAGTGTTTTAATGTTTGGGGTCTCTTCTGTTTATAGAAATGGCGCGGTATTCTCATGAACCTGACAATGCTACGAAGTCCTGTAAAGCTAGAGGCTCCAATCTCCGTGTTCACTTCAAGGTTAGTAATTTATAATATTTGATTGTTTTTTATTGTAGAATATATGAGTGAAATCTAATTTAATTTGTGATAAATATTAACTTATGTTTGTTGAGTAGTACTTATTAAAAAAAAAATATTAAATTCATTGTGCTAATTACCATTATTCAAACTCTTTGATTGCAAAGATAAATTTGTATCATTAATTGTATATTCTCTTCTCATCACAAGTTTAGTTTGTAAGGTATGTTAAGTAAATTGATATATTGTTCTGTTAGTGTGTAATGTTATGTTTAATTAGGCAACAATTAGTCTTTAATGTTCAACACTTACACTTTCATTAACTCAAGTTTTGTCAAGTTGAGTGTGGGATTTAATTTTTATTTGATCTCTCTCTATGACTCTTGTTTAGATTTTTCCATATCTTCAGTACATTCAAGTCGGATTGGATTTATTTGGCTTTAAAAATGGTTTAAGTTCTAGTTCACAACAACTCCATCCGGATGGTGTTGATGCCAAGATCATTTCAATCAAACTTTTGCATGGGGTGCTGAAAAGAGCCGAGTTTGTCTGAAGAAGCCTACCCGTGATTCATTTTAATAGGCCTAATTTTCCATAACCACCCTCAATTCTGCTTGCCAATAAATATAGACAAGAGTGTGAACTGAGATATTTATATTGTAATGTTATTCCATGTATCGATAGTGGAGTATTGAATGAAACTCATGATAATTACAAACCTTACAAAATTTTTTAAATGTTTCCAATTCAGTAAATAAAAATAACCATTATTACAAAGCTAAGAATCCATTTGAATATAATATAATAATAAAAGTGAAATAATTTGGGAATCAAATGAAACATTTAATGAAGTAAAGATCTAATCTTGATTAGGGTACACAATAAAACATAATCCAGATTTTCTTTTTTATATTCATTGATTGGTATAGTTATTTCTTATCATTTCAGAAAAAGTGGAACATTTGATATATTCGAATTGAGAGACCAAAATGGTCTAATAAAATATGAAATATCTGATAATATTGATTATGTAAATAATAGTTATAATTTTGAAATGTATGTAATTTGTTAAAATTCGACCTAGTAATCAGATTATTAATTAAAAATAATAATAATTAAGACCCTTTGAATTTTCATAAAAAATTAAATTTTCTTTGTGTCCTTTGATATTTTGTGAAGTTTTCCATTTATATTTTGTTATTGTATTTACTTTCTCTTGTATCTATTATTGGGAATTAGAAAGATTACGTTCTGTATTATGTGCCCTTTTACTGTTGAAAGATTCTTTGGGAATAATTAGGTTTTAAAGGAAGATGTGTTCTTATTATAGTATCTGCTTTAATGATAATATATTTATGAGATATTTGCTGTAACGTTTATCATAAACACTTCTGTAATATATGTACTGAGAAATCATTATATTAAAAAAAAAACCTTCTCTTAACTGGTGATTTACTCTAACCATTCACATATGTGCTCACACAAACACTTATTTTGCTATGGAAGATTTTAAAAGATTAGATATTTAATGTTTGCCTTTTAAGTTGTATATTCTCTGCTATGATATCTTGAGTTTTTTCCTAGCAATTTTTATAATTATAAAGTATAATGTTATGTTTGCTCTTGATTAAATGAGTGAACCTTTCGTAAGAAAATTATGTTTCTGTTTTATACTATACCATAATATCAACATATATTATTTTTATTTCTTTAGAACACTAGAGAAGCAGCTAAGGCCATCAGAACTATGCCTTTGAGAAGAGCTATTAGATATTTGAAAAATGTAATGGAAAAGAAAGAGTGTGTACCTTTCCGTCGCTTCAATGGTGGTGTTGGTAGGTGTGCCCAGGTAAATAATTTCATTTAATTTTTGCACTAGTTATTCTAATTATAGTTTCTATTTTTGTACAAATTGTTACGTATCTATATTGTATATAATGTATGTATTGATACAAAACTTGTATTATAAGCAGTCAGTTCAAATAAAATCTTAAATCCAAGTTGAATTTGGATTGGTTACGTAATTGGTTTGTTGTTCTCCACAATCTACAAAAGAAACCATTTTAAAATTAATAATCAAGGAAAAACACATGTCTGAACAAAAATAGTAGATCAAATTTATTAAAATTGATATTGGACCATCTAGTAATTACTCTCACAATTCATAAATATTTATGAAATCGTATATATGGCATGAGTTATGTCCAATTTAAAGAATATTAACATCTCATGACCTTAATATACTGCTGCATATCACAGCAATTATATTTTTAGCAGTTATATTAAGTTTAATTGCCAAATGAAATATATTGAAATTGATACTAGATCATTTATACTCTATTTCCTAAATCTTCTCGAACTTGAGGACGAATCGAATGAGCTGTTTATGAAATTTAGGCATATCATGGGTACTTTTTTGCATTATTTGCACAAGTATTTTTTGAAAGGAGTGCATGAAATAAAAATTGATAAATACATAATTATTTGATACCAATTCCTAATATGCAATACAAACGTGTGGTTTTTGGTTGTAGTAAATTAATGTAATTATGAATGGAATAACTTCATTCAAGTTTTGAGCCGAACATTGAACAAGCTATTTTGTAAGTAAGGCCTGTTTAGAAAAATAAATGTATACCTACTTAAGTGAAAGTAGTAGATGATATGTGATCAGATTACCAAAACTGCTCAATCCGAAAATTTCATGAAAATAAGATTAATGGTAGTGAGTGATATGCTCATCACATAGATTTCAATTCAATCAGACATAACATCAAATTGGATTTTTGCTATGTAAAAGATTAAAAAAGTTTTATAATATTGACTATTATTAAGAGATTGTTGTGGTTTTTGCTGGTTTCAAGTGTCGTGTCTTTATCTCACAAGTTTCTATTTAATTTTACCGTGTTTAGATAGTTTTACCATGAGTAGAAATACATTTTTTAGTATCTCAATTTTTCTATTAATTCTTTTGTTTTTCTCTTTAATTATTTAAATAATTGTGCTATTGTAGGCTAAACAATGGGGTGTTACCCAAGGTCGTTGGCCAAAAAAATCTGCAGAATTTCTGCTCCAGCTTTTGAAGAACGCTGAATCCAATGCTGATTACAAAAATCTTGATGTCGACAGGCTTGTAATTGAGCATATCCAAGTAAATAGAGCTCCACGTTTGAGAAGGAGAACTTACAGAGCTCATGGTAGAATTAACCGTAAGTATTGAGGACTTTTTTTTTAGTTTTAATTCTGAAATTATGGGAAGCCATTTTTAAGTTTTTAGTAACTGTTTTCTGATAATTTACAGCTTACATGAGTTCACCCTGCCACATCGAAGTTGTCTTGACTGAAAAGGAACAGGTTGTCGCCAAGGCTACTGATGAGGAGCCCATGAAGAAGAAAGTATCCAAAAAGAAGTTGGCCAGGCAAAAGGAAAAGATGATGAGGGAATAGTTTTTTTAATAAACTATGTTTTTTCTTTTAACAATTTTATTCTTCTTTCACCCCTTTATAAAAATTGTCTAAGATGCTTCACAGTTGCGATAATTATAGATTAAATACAAAGTTATGATCCAACATTTAATTGTTCAATCATTATTTATTTATTTTAGTATTCCACATTAGTGGTTTCTGGTAGTATAGAGAACTGAAGTGGAGTATGAATCCATATGGATATATATTCCATATATTGATTCTTAATTTCTGATAAAAATTATTTCAGTTTATTAAAAAAAGTAACCAAGTATATTTTTGATGGAGCTAAAATGGCACAAACTTTTTATATATCAGTTATAGTTATAATAAGCTCAATCATTGTTGATTTCACAAAGGGAATATTAATCAAAGTTCTTATTGATTTAAAGTAATCAAATGTAAATAAGTTTTTGCAAGATATTTAGTATACATGAGATGTGACTCCTGAGATATAGTCTAAAGTGTGTATGCCTGATACTATCGACTTAGGAATCAGTTGTTTCCTTGGAATAATGATTGGTGAGATGGTATATATGTTAACTTAGCTACCAGCCTTTGGTATATTTTATTTTTTCTTTCAGTGTAAAAAACTATAAAGATACCCGCAGAGTAATAATTCTGGTTTGACAATTATTCTTATTAAAAAAAGGATTACTTTAAATAAATATTTTTGAACAGTTGGGAACAGAACGTAAACAGCCGAGAACTCCCGAACTCTGCTGATTCTCTCCATTTTTTTATACCCGATAACCCTCTACAATGCTTTCATTTTGTTGGTTCAACTTCTATATTTCACTTATCCGTATTTTTCTAGGGAAGTTTTCATCCGAAATGTGGATTTAATAATAGACAATATATAGTAATTAACTTCTTTTTAAACAAGTTTTGTTAGTGATATGTGTTTCAAATAAAACTCAGAATTCTTGTAAAAGATCCTTCCTCCCAATTCCTCAAGATGATTCCTCCCAATCATTGGTATTATTTTCAGTCGTAAAGTGGTATAAATGTATAAATTAATACATTTGGTGGGTAGGAAAAACAGTAATTAATTGTTTTAAATGAAGTTATACCATTGTTTTTACTTTTAAATCCTTTTTTTGTGAAAATATTTACTCTAAGCAGGTAAATGATAGTTGTGTGATGATTGGTCACACTAGGTCACACTGTGCATGATTTTTTAATTCTGCCATTTTCAATAATTTTTATTTTGTTGAATAATGAATATTTATTAAACAAATAAAAAACAGCATGATTTTTATATTAGTTATTTATTTCTCCAATTTGGCTAATTAATATTTACAATACATACACATAATGAAGGATATTTAAAATCAGAGTGTTTTCAGATAAATTATACATACACAATATAAATATTCATAGGACAATATTCGGTTTCAAAAATTGTTTTTTATAAATTTTTTTTTTACAAAATTATATTAAATCGTTTAAAATAAAACCATTTTTAATTTAAAAAAATACATTCACATAACTTAAACTAAGTACTTATAGATATTGTTTCACAAATTGTAAATGAGTATTTAAAAGTTCTTAAAGGACGATTATTTACAAATGCCTTCTTAATAAAATAGAGAATGTCACGATAAAGGAACTCTGGTTGTGTTTGGTAAGAACAGGCACAGGAGACCTCCGCCTAAGGAAAATAAAAAATAAATTAAATCGTATAATTTATATGTAAATATATTAATTTATCATGTGAATAAAATAATTAAATATTTATTTAAAAATATAATTAATAGAAACTTTTCAGTTATTGTATTTAATCAAATATTCCTTCAGAAGAGCATTTTTATTAAGAAATAAAAATAATAATCTGGCTATGTTGTGTAGTTCAGTTTTTTAAGTTATTCATCACATGTTTATTACATGCACATCCTCAATCGGGCACTTCTCAAAATATATGTGGTTTAAGTAGAAAAAATTCTTGACTTAAGCTAATTTTTATATAGGAATCCCTTGAGTATTTTTTTTGCTACAAGCTAATTTTTATATAGGAATCCCTTGAGTATTTTTTTTGCTACACGTTGCTGATAAATTATTTTTGTGGCTATTGGTTTGATGTAATATTTGAAAGCTTGTAGCTTTTGGAGTAATATTTGATTTTTTTTTTTTTTATCTCCTTGGTTTTTATAAAATTATCTTAATGAATTAATTATTTAACTTTATCTTCATAAAATGTTAAAGTCTCAAACTAAAGACATATTGCGGAAAGTTTTTGTAATATTAATTTTAAATTCTCTGCTGAAAGTAATCTCAGTTGCTTATTTGTTAGTGAATATAAAGAACTTTAAGCTTTGGAGACTTTGTATAATCTATCTTTCGTTGAAGGGAACATCCCAAAAAATGAACTAATGAGCTATCGAATAGGATAAGTGCTTAATATTTTCAACAGAAAAGAATCGAATCATCTGTTGTGTTGTATGTATTTTCAATGGAATATCGAAATAGAGAAAAAAAAAAAAAAATTGGAAATGTAATGAAAAATTTTAATTTAATAAGGAACCAAACCACAATAAAGTTAATTTCAATCTTTCAAAGTAATACCAATATTTTTCTCTGGATAAAATTCAGATGAAAATTAATTTGTTGATAAAAATTAAAATATTATTTGAAAGATTTAGATTTTCTAGGACGTTTAACTTTTGAATTGATTTTACTCAAAATATCCTCAATGTGGATCGGGTTCCTTCTGTTAAATGCCATCCAATTACTTTTGTTTAGTTTATATATTGATTCAAGAAATGTATCCATTCTTTGACTGGTACACCGAAACCAGAGGTTTTAGTGTGACTCAGTCAGATATTTAACTTCTGGTATAAAATAATTAAGAGACAAACACGGGGTTCTCAAATCGTCCTAAAGTTGATGCTGCATGTCCCCTCCCCAGAACTTTTACTGCTTTCTCTTATTAAAATAATGCTAGACAAAATAATTAAAATAAAAGGCTTAGTGAACCCGAAGGTTCGATGCAGACACCATCATCTCTTATTACACACCTCCCTTCTCCATTCGCCGTCCAAACCCCCATCAGATAGACTTTAATGTAATCTTTCCACCTTGGCTTCTGTCTACCCTTCGGACGTTTACCATTCAGTACAGGAAATATTAACCTTTTAGGAATTCTCTCCTTACTAAGCCAAACAATTTTACAAGCCATTTGATTCACCGCGATGAAATCTCCTCAATTATATTACCCGGATACAGTTCACGCAATTCAGTTCCGCAAAAATTATTCCGTAGAATATTCGGATCGAAGAAAGATGAGTTAACCGGAGATTTTAGACAGTTATACAGCGCTGAATAACTGTCTAAAATCTCCGGTTAACTCATCTTTCTTCGATCCGAATATTCTACGGAATAATTTTTTTTCAAAAAACCTTAAGACGCTGCTCATCCCTTAATGTAAGTGGGCTCGACGAAATAGAATTAGAGAAATTGTAGATTACATATAATTGCTATTGCTGTCTCTGTTACACAGTTCCTTGCCTTGAAATTTCTTTTAAATTGATCATCCAAAAAATATGAATCCTAACAAAAATTCATAACCTTATTAAAATGTATTTTCTCTGCAAAAATTAAAAAAACCTTAAAAATATTGACTCCCTAAAAAGTGTATGCAGCAATTTGTGCTATGGAACTTCCTTCTGACACCCCTGTGGACAAAAGAATATGCATTTGAAAAAAAATAAAAAAATACTCCGTCCCCATTTCTAGAACCATTAATGTATAGAACAAATTAGCAATTTATAGAAACTAGATGGTGTTCTACTTAGTGATGATAGTTTTATTGGTTTAAATTTTTCGCGAAGCAGCATGTTTCAAACTTGATTTATTAAACTGCTAGATGGCGTTTGTTCCGTATAATCTATCACTGTGTTGTTTGATAAATTTTCGCCATAAATAAGTGACCACGTTGAGAGGCATAACCATAGTCAACTTGTGACTTTTAAAAAGCTACGTCTTCTTGAGAAGCACACTATGTGATGTACAAGGATTGCTAGATATTTCAACAGGTATATTAATTAAAAGAAAATATTATTAACAATAATTACCAATGAGAAGAGCAGCCACAATGAATGTGGGAGCAGGACAGTACATGTCCAGTAAGGTAGCGATGACTATGTTCCCTACGATGCCACCAAGTCTTGCAGCGACCATCGAAATGGCAACACCAGTCGCCCTGCAATGTTAAATTATAGTTTCAACTCATATTTGGAACAGTCTATTTGTTGTAAGTGTATTGCAATTTCAAAACCTTACCTGAGATTCGTTGGAAATATTTCGGTTATCAGGCAATCGAGCGCGGCGTTTCCACAACTAATCACTCCACTGAAGATAGCAGAAACTATAAGATTTTGTGTCTTGTTGTAAACGAAAAACATGCATATAGCGCATATTCCAGACGTTACAGTACTGAATACTGAAATAAATAAAATATGTGAATGGTAAATGATGAATTTTCCGTGAAATATGGATTTATAGTTGCTGTGTAAACTAACCGAGAAAGAATTTTCTTCCTAGAGAGTCCATGCCTAGGATGGCGAGTATGTTGCTAGGGACAGCGGCTGCTACTGTGATGAAAGACTCAAGGAACACACTACTTTCTATCTTGTCGTCGCACATGTTGTTCTGTGCTTGTGAACCGGAGTTAACAACGAAGTATGTGACATCGCAGACGGAAGCTTCTTCGAGACCACCGTGGGAACGAGCGTATTCGTCAAATCTGTTGAACAGCTCAGGGAACCACATCATAAGGCCGTAGTATCTAGAAAATAAAAGATTTGTTACAGTTTTAAAAAAAAAAGTATTATAATTATTGTTCATAAGCGTACGTATCACAAACACCTAATTTGGCATAAATAGCTAGAATATAATAAAAACAAAAATCAAATCCAACCAGAAATACTTTATTTATTTATTTTTATTATTGAAATTTACAACTGTATTAAATGATAAATACAAATAAATATGAAATATGACATGTAAAACATGAAGAGAAACAACCCATTGGTAGCACTCCAATTATATTTCTATATTAGAAGGTCCTGAGGGCATCTTCTTTTCAGACGCCTCGGAGGGTTATCAGGAATAGAAGTAAAGAGGAAGCAAGGCTGGATACAAGACTGTTTGGTTCACAAGTTTACTATGGAAGGTATCTGGATTCAGCTAAATCGGAAATATGTGGTACATTAAGGTCATTATGGATGATTTTATTTGTGACAAAGTAGGGAGCATTGAGGATTTTACGAAGGATTTTGGATTGTAGAGATTGGATACGAGAGGAACTTTATGGTTTAGTAGAGCCCCAAAGCTCGATCCCGTAAGTCCAAATAGGCCTTATTATAGTAATATATAGGAGTCTTTTGTAAATAGTTGGAAGTTTAGAGCGGTTGTCTAGTAAGTGCTGCAGTAGTCGAAACCGTCGGGCGGTTTCTAGTCGTTTCAGTCTGGTATGGACATGAAGCAGAAATACAAAATGATTTAACCACATTTAATTTTGATTTTTTTAAGTCGAATTATCGAATAGATATATAAAGATGTTGTTTTTTAAAAATTTAAAAACGCATCGGGAGAACTAAAGATTCACTACCACAGGGAAAATATCTGAGCTGCCGTATACAAAATATGATTTAAAAAAAACAACACTAGAAACCTGCTTGATTTAAAAATTCAATTCAAATGAAGGTTCGTACAAGTATTTAGAATCAATATTGGTCTCTAGCTAAAAAAAAAAAATTGAATTGAAGAAAATAAAATATTATTTAATGAAACTGGTAACGGTCAGTATCGCACGATGATAAGGGTAGATTACTAAAAGATTGACAGAGCATCTAACATTGAGCAGTCCACGAGAGATTCTTAATACATCAGTCATTACCTTTGTTCTTAACAAGAGGTCATTCGGACTACTAAAAAAGACTGGTCTAGCAGGTTTGTATAAACAGATGGTGTCAAACTATTTGACGGAAGGGAATAGAAAGAAGAAGAATAGGGTCAGGAATATAAAATCCAGTCTTAATGTCTATAATTCCCAGTGTTTATAAATTCAAATACAACATAATTGAGTAGTTATGAGACTAAGAAACGAATTTTCCACGATTGAACCAATTAACAATCTTTTTTTATGTTGAAATATTTTCATCGCACGTTAATAATGAGTATAGCAAACTTAGAAAGAGAATTACGTGCAAAAACACGATACAACTTTCACTCTGGTTAGTGAAGTTTTCAAGCGTCGTTTTAAAAAAATTCTTGAAATTTAATCTTCTGTTACATGGTACCGGAAAAATAGTATGCAAATGGAACAATCATATTCTGATGAAATTAGAATATGTACTAACCTCAGAGATCAACGCAGTAGGCAAATTAACGGAGGATATGCGTATATAAAAAAGAAAAAAAATCTTGGAAGTTGTGGATTATACTGAGAAGGATTGGCCTCGTATCTGAGTAACTAATTCTCTTCTAATTGGTGTTTCCTTTGCACCTCTTCCCACCTGCTATCGGTCACAGGTTGTTGTGCTGTTGTAAAAACATTATTAATTTGGCTGTGGGTTTTTGTAAGTATGTAACGTCTCCTAGTCAACCCCATTCCAAATTTTCTTTATTTTTTTAGTAAAATAAAACATTATAAGTAAATACTTCTTAATTACCCTATGTGAAATGTAAAATTGATGGTGACAGAGATTATAGTAAATCGCAAGATGGGAGGTATGAATAAGTTCCTCGTATGTGCTATAATTTCTTTTAACATCAGTCTTAATGGTTTTTCTTCGTTATTTGTGCCGTTTTCAGGAGATTGTGGCTCCATCTCCATCTTGACCAGGCTTAAAATCTGAAATATAAATTAAAATATTTTAATAAAAACTTATAATCAAGACATTTTTTGAAAAATTCCAAACTGTTTTTTTCCTGAAGGTTCAGTTTCATTTTTGACATGAGATATGATACAAACTATTATGGATTATACGAATATACCCGAAGAGACGTATTTTATATTTTGAAATAAAATTTTATCCTAGCATACAACAGGATTTTGATTTGAAATATTTAAAAAAAAAACCTTCATCCAATTTTGTCCTTAACAGCTGTTTTAAAATAATTTAAACTTACATCAAGATAGATAGTAGTTCTCAATTCAACTTATTAAGTCGATCAATTGAACAACTCATTATATGAACGAAATAGGCGGAATATCGAGAACTGAAGAGTCTTATTATTTCTGTATTAATTTTGCTACGTGTTGGACATTAATATTCAAGGTAATTTCCCTATCACTGTTTTTTAGCTCGGTTTTTAATATTTTTATTTTATTTTAGAAACTTGAATTTGAATCAGTAATGATTATTTCTATAGAATAATGACAAAGTTTGCTTGAATGGTGTCCGTGAATTTTTCAAAACTATTATGTTTTGTTTAGGAGATATTGCGTTTCATTTTGAGTACTTGTATTTATTTTAAATTGGTTACTTCTTTTCGTGAAATTAGTTTCATGATTATTTACCAATTTATTAAAATCATTCTCTCTAAATTACTGAACTGAAATATATGTGAATTTGCAGGATATTTAAAAAACAAAAATGAAATAATTGAAATACTAAAATGTTAGCAGCAAAAAATATGCATGCTAAAAATAATTAATTCTTTTGAACTGAATATTTTTACGAGAGTTCATTGGTGATTAAAATAAAAAAAAAAAATCAAATTTATTTATATACATAGAAAATGGATTTAAAAATAAAAAAAACATTCAAATTAATTATAAGTGTTAATTATTAGCTGAGGAAGAAAGCGTTTTTGAATAGAATGTACCAGTTTTCTTTGAATTTCCTTTATTAATTTAAACTGTAAGATAGCTTTAAAAAAATTAAAATGTTTTGAAAAATAGAGTTATCAGATTTTCTCAATTAATTAATTATAATAAACTAATTTATTTAGCCTTTTAAATATATAAATGTAATATTGTAATTCTTATATATTTTTATTAAGTTTAATTGATAAAAATTATAATATTTACACTTTAAAATAAATCAATCCAATTTTTTTTTTTCAATTTTAAAACTTACCGGATAGTTTTCTTCCGGTTTGCCTGTATTTTTATTATATATATGTTGAAAAACTTTCAGAGCTTCATCTGACTTTCCAGTCGATATGAGGAACTTCGGACTTTCTGGTAGAAAGTAGAGTAAGCCTGCTACTACGAAGCTCGGCAGTGAACAAATCATCAAGAAAACTCGCCAAGAGTTAAATATAAATCCTGGTAAGGTAAGAATCATCTTGCTTGGGATAATACTCCAAGCCAAACCTAAAAATAATAATAGTACGTGTGTATATTTTCTCGCAAATATTTGAACTGTAAGATACAAAACATTGCTACTTAATTATAAATTATATATTAATATTTCAATATAATATGATATTAATACTTAAATGTTTCCTATAAACGTATAGGTATTTAAAATAAACCACAAAGTTTTAAGTATTTGGGCGAATTGAAGATAAAATTTTAATTTGTAAGAATTAAATCTGATGGGAACTTTGCTGAACGATTGTTCACGAACGACATACGTCTCTCCTTTTCGCTTGGCGTCTGAATTTGCCTTCGTTCTTTGATGGATATAGATGTTTCTTTCGCTGGTAAAAGGAAATGCTTAATGCTAAGTAATTCTGATCATCAAGAATGCTATTTCAAATCTTGGATGATAACCACATACATACTATAATAACATTTAATCTGTAATAAGAAAGAACGTCGTAATGCGTATATGTTAATTCGATAAGCTTCTAAAAAAAAAGTTCATCACTTAAACGATCGGTTCTTATGTTAATTTACCTGTAAAAGTTGGATTTATACTTAACTACAACTAGTAATGGTGAAACAAGTGCTATTTTAATGCATTATATTAGAACCAATCATTCTCTATGAACTTTTTTTTTTTCCGCTCGTGAGTTTACCACTCAGCAGCCTCGTTTGAGGCATAATTTTTTTCATTTCTAAAAATATATTCATGATTTTAAAAGAAGAAATAAACTAATGATCACTTTGAAAGCGCAGTTTTATGGGAATCGTATTTTCAGAATATAATTGAAGCAGAGAAAGTAAATGATTTGGATTCGTTAAAAATATTTTTTCACAAGTCTTCCAAGTATAGTATTGAGTGAATGACAGAATCAAAGGTTGTCAGGAGGTCATAGACATGTTTACCAATATTAAAAAAAATAACTAATAGTAGCTAAGGAAAAATAGTTTTTAATAGATATCCCTACAACCACTTACTTGCCACAAATAAATTTCCTAGTGTCCAAAAAGCTGCCATGAAACTCAACATGGATCCTCTTTTCTTCTTTGGTTGAAATTCAGCAAAGTAAGACCAAACTACTGGACCACTTCCACCGAGGCTAAAACGAAACATTAAGTGAATTTTATATTACTGTTCGATAACAAATTCATAACTTTAACTTCATTCATCAGAGTCATTCATTCGTCATTTCTTTTATTGAACTTACGCAGCTCCATTGAGAAATCGGAAAAGCATGAAAAGCCAATAGGATTGGCTGAGACTCGATATCACAATGCAAACTGCATTCATGAACGATATCACTATTAACACTTTCCGCCTTCCAATCGTGTCTGCAAGTGAACCCCAGAAGTACGCTCCGAGCATCATACCTAGAAACGTAGAATCATGTTTAAAATGTTTTAAATAATGTCTTCTTTTCAAAACATATTTCAATTCTTACTATAAAAGTATCTTTTAGTTAGTATAAACATCGAAATATTCCATTTATTATGCGTAATAAATCGTCGAACTCTTCTTTTGTATTTCAATGAGTGAGATTTGGTTAGTAAGTCATTTAAATATTTTTACAGCCAATTCAAGTTTCTAGCTCCTGGTTCTAAGGTGTCCATTTATCCTCATTGGTCTATCTTCCCCATTTAAAATGGATTTAATGTTGTTTTTTTTTGGAATAAGTTCTTATTATAAAATTATTAATTTATTAGTAGTAGCTATTGCAAAGTCTTCACAACGAGAAATTTGTGATGAAAAAACAACAATCATTACTGTTGGATTTGATCCAATATATATCCACCATTGAGAACGATTCTCCAACTTCACTTGAAAGTTTCGTAAAAAAAAATAAAAATACTTTCATCCATCCAAGGACTCCTTTCATCCATTTCGTTGTTTCTTCTTCTCTTAAACATTGACGGTAAAACGCGCCTAAGTATCTATTGAGCATCGAGTAAGTAAACGGAGAATTGAAGTGCTAACTAATGCATTAACAGATATTGGAGAGATGGAACTTCATCCAACATCTTTTGCGATGGATTGTTTCTATTAGCAGCCCCTAGAGTTCTCGTGTATCTTGAATATATCTCATGCATCCCTTTAGAACTTTCCTGTCTGTTTTATTAAACTTGACAATGTCTATGTCGCCGATGAGGTTATGTAAATAATGATCTTTTTTTTTCTAAGAACCAAGCTTCGAATTTCCTAAGTGCCCGACAAATGAGGGTCTTATTAAGTTCCGCTTTAATAGTTTATCCAAAAAAAAAAATTATTGAATGATTTGGTATAAAATTATATAAAAAACAAAAGAAAAAATGCTTTTAGGTACTGCAATTCTGAGTTTAAATTATTTCGTTTTCTACAGTCACTCATTTAAGTATTTGTCCCTGTCGCACACAGAGGTAATGAAAGAAGTCACAATAGAAAATCACTAGATACAGTAATACAGTAGATAAAGGTCTTGATTACAATTATAAATAATTTTCTCGTTTTCGCCTACTAGCTTTACAGGTTTCAGCATTGACGCACAACAAATTAGATTTATTTGCACGTATTTTTTTGTTTAGAAATAAATTATCATGTTTATCTTTTTCTTGAGAAATTAAACAAAAATTAGTATAAAATAATCACTATATTACGGAATTGTATTGTAAACATTCTAATGACCAATTGTTTATATCAAAGAACTGAAATCACCGCAATTCAGTTTAATTTTCTCCTTGAACTTTTTACTGATCTTGTGATCTGATAGGCTGCCGTACTTTAATCAGTTTGATACAAATAATTCAAGTATCAGTAATCAGGAACTTCTGTTCTTATACTTACTACAATGAGGAGTATCCTCCATACCGATTACGTTCGAAGGTATCAAGAAGTTACTTTTCTTTCAGTCCAGGTTATGAGAAAAAGCACTTTCATTTTTATTTACTTGTTTATGCAAGGTAACGTTCTATTTCAAGAAAGTTGTTACGGAGGAATAACCAAATATTAAACATCATTTCAACCAAATGATCACTGAAGTTAATTATATTTTCCTGTTTGAAGAAATTTAAGCTGAATTAAACGTTACTGAAAACTGTCGAGGAACTACTTGTACTTGAGGAATCATCTTCATCTTCCGTCGATTGTCTGTGTCTTGTAAGGATCTCATCCAGTTCTTTAACCTTAGGATACTCTTGGTATCGCCTCTCACATCAAGATTCAAGATTTCAAGATAAGACGTGCTCTACAACAAATAAATGTTGTATATAAATGTTGTAAAGTTTGTATCTCTTGTATAGAGAATATGGCGTATGATTCTTAAGTAAAGCGTCTCTTTCTGTGTTCATAAAGTTGGAATCTTTCATTAATTCTTCACAAGATTTTAAAAAAACAACAGAAAATCACTTTCGGTGTTATACCTTACAGAGTCAAGGAAGAGCTCATTCGACAATAATATGAGAAAGAAGCTTATCAAAAGAGGTTTTTAAAAGCGAACGTTCTTTTTTTTCTTGGAGTATAAAGTTTTAGTTGGTTGAATAATAATACATAGTAATAATTATTAGGTTATTATTGGAAATTTTCCAAAATAGACACATTATCTTAGATCAACCATTGCAATCATAGATGCAATTGGATTTCATTGAGTAATGTTCGATTAGCTGTTTTTCTGTCCTGATGATGACTGAATTGGGGAAACGTTAACGGATTTTTCTATTCCTAGCATTTTGGAGAAATAAAGCTCTGTGGTTTGGAATTTTTCCAATAATAACCTAACATGTATGTTCTGCCTCTTGATTATTTTGTTACTAATTTATAACATAGTATTATAGATACATAGAATAGGTTATTAGTTTAACTATGACGTGAAAGAAAAAATGTTTATTAAATATATAATTTTTGTACAAATTTGTTCACCTATAAATATGATGCTGTTGAGCCATCCTTTGCTATAGGTACTTAATTCTAGATCGCACTGTGCAGAGGGGAGTAAAAAGGACATGGATATCACATCCATCTCCTCGCTTGTACTTACAAAGCCACATACTATCAGTAAAAAGTAGTGGAATTTCCCGTAACCTAAAAATAAATAAATAAATTAAAATATATACAAAAGACGTTCAACACAAATATAAATTGTAAATATAAATTATTCAAAGTATAATTATATTATTGGGTTTAATAAAAAAAAAAAAAAATATATATATATATATATATATATATATATTTTATATATATATATATATATATATATATATATATATATATATATATATATTTTATATATATATATATGTTCTTATATATATGTTATTTTATATATATATATGTTCAAAAAAACAGTATTGTTTCATTCCAATCATATGATAGAATTTATGGCTTTTGCTGTGAAGGAACACGTAGTTGAAAACCAAAACTCCTTCATTTTTGTAGTTCAATTGGAAGTTAGGTTCAGGGGTGTCCAGAAGGGGAGTTTTATGGGGCAAGTTCGCCATCAACATTTTTGAAGGGGGCATATTTTGGTAGGTTTTTGAATTTTTGAGGGGCGCAAATATCGGCGGAGTTATGAATTTTCGGAATGAAAAGTTTCATACTAAGGAACAAGGGGAAAATATGGAACACTCCGTAGCGAGTGTAATTGTATATAATCTACGATTTTTCTAATTCTACCTCAGCCTGCTCTGTTTATAATGAGAGCTGAGCAATAAAATATTGTGGGGTAAGGGGTAGGTGCTTGCGCCATCGACCTTGAGGGGGGGGGGCGGTTCAGTTAAAAAAGTCGTCAGGTAAATTTTTAGAATTCAATAGAATACAATTGAAGCGAATAAAAACTAACTTTATTCTGGGACAAAATCCCTTGATAATAAAAACTATTATATCTGGTAAAATAAATATCTGAATCTCCATTTAATCAATAGTTATTGTTTCCAACAAATTTGCACATTTTTATAGCGAAATGGAAATAATCATATCATTAATAGAATAGAACGTATGAAATAGAACATATCACTTGAATTTTGCTATGTCAAGATTCATGTACATCTTGGTGTGTGTCGCTTTGACTGTTGGAAGACTCATTTTTATTTTATTTTATTTTTTAAAAAATATATACAATTAGAATTTTAGTTTTAGGGTTTTTCTAATATTATTGTAACTATAATTAAATTGAACGTAATTAATACAACGAAAAAACAATGCTGAAATTCGCCATGGTGATTATGAAGGCATTGACGTTTGAGTTGTTAAATTTGACCACCAAGAACGTCTTTATCAGTTCGAAAAAACATTCCTTTTTGTATTCTTATACAAGTGAATGGAACAGGGTCTAAAAAAGGCCAGTTTTATGTAATTTTTCAAATTTATATATATTTGTAAAATTCACTTTATATTTTTTTACCATGATTAAAGTTATTTATAAATTATAATTTATTTTAGTTTCAATAATATTTGAAGTAAACTATTTACCTGCTAGCTCAATGGCTTCTTCAAAATCTGCATTTTTACCCTGTATGTGTGCGAAGTCTGTATAGTTGCATGGTGACGGACATTTTGCTGCTAAAAAATAAGTAGGATAGATTAAGAACTAATTTGAATTGATATAAGTATAGTTATTTGAAAAACTATACTGGTGTATTCACAATACATTTCATCTTATAATTATCACTAATTTATGATGAGTCATCAGTGAAAAAATATTGTTTATCCTACTCTAAAATAATTTCAATTCCTCGTAGAATAAATTTATAACACTTTATTTAAAATTTATTTTATTTTTTTTATTATTTCATCTTCTTTTAAAACTTAAAATTTAAATAAATATTAGAAAAGGGTAATCATAATTAAAAAAAAAAAATCTTTATAATCAAATGTTGGTTTATAATACAGTTTTTTAATCATAAGATTTAAATTATTAATTATAAAAATGTGTGTCTATATTACGATAAACATTGATAAAAACAAATACAAGATTTATACCGTCAAAATATGAACAAGAAAATCTAATACCAGGGAAAAATATTTTTATTAAAAAGAAAGGGAAGATACTAAAGCGTTTTTCCCAAGTGAAATTGAATCAAAAATAGGGCATTAAGACAATTAAATTAAACATTTTTGATTTTATCGAGATTAGAATGAAAAATCAAAAAAGTAAAGAAATAGTAATTTTCTCGACGGGCAACTTATATTTAAAAAAAAAAATAAAGTAAACATTATAGACAAATATTGAAACAATATTTTTACTTTTTTTTTTGTCGCCAAGATTTTTGTAAAATGTTGATCTGTATTACGTATTATTTTTATTAACTATGTTTTAAAATCAGTAATTGTTTTGATTTATTCCTTGCTGTTCGCTTTCCTTTAAGTATTTAAAATACCAAATAACCCTGCTTAAATTTAAATTACGTATCAATCTAATGTTTTTTTCATTTTATTATTATTTTTATTACATAATATTAAATTTTATAATTCATTTCGCAACACTAATAAAACGCTCACTTGTTTAACAAAACAGAATTTTCAGATAAATAATTAGTTTTTATTCAAAGGAATTATTTTATTTAAACAAATCCTTACGTAAATTTGTAAAATAGCAATATAAACCAACACCTAACATTTCAATTGGATGTATAATATAATTGGTATATTTTTTTCAAGTTAGTTTTTTGAATCATTTTAACATTCCATTGAGGGTACTTTTCACCCATATTTTATAACGAAATTTTCCTAATTTTATTATCCTCGATTTATTGAAAACAGTACGACGATTTTTTAAATCGAATTTAGTTGTGATTGTAAAAAAAATCATTTAAAATAAATTATTTAAAATACTTGAATTTGAATAACGTTTGAATCTAAAGTTTTATTTATTTATTAATTTCTTTTTTTATTATAAATTATAAAACTTTCAATCGTTATTCATTCCACGTTCTCAATGCAGCACTAACATAACTTTTAAAATAAATTAACTTAATAAAAAGTTTTGATTCCAGAAGATTGACTTTATTTTATCCAAAACTATCATAAATGAAGAATATATTATTATGAACAAACATTTAATAGTCTGAATTTAGGTCTAATTGTCTAACGAAATTTTTATAGTTTTCATGTTCTCGACATATTGAAATTTATTCTATACGGATTTTTTGATCGAATTTGGTCATGCGATTTAAAAAAAAAATCATTTAAAACAAAACCTTAAAAAGTATCATTGAAAAAAAAAATAGAAAACTGCGGCTGAAAGTTTGGACTCTTCGTTAAATAATAAACACCAACAGTTGGATATATTTCGTTTTAACTTATATTAATTAATTATTTTTCGAATAACAGAAAGTAGAAAACGACATGATGGATTACTCTACTAAGGTTATGCAGTAAAAAAATATAATGAACAATTATGACCCAAAATCGATGACTAAAATTATGAAATTGTTTTTTTTTTTTTAAATCCTAAACCCATCAAAAGATACTGACCCTCACTATCCCTCGTATCCTTCTTACACATACCCAGTGCGACCTACCAAAGAACTGACTGAGAGGTCTCGATGGGACGGGTACATCTTTGAACCATCCCCGTGTCCCTGATAAGATAACAAAGACTAACATAACCCGTCGTAAATTAAGATTTGCGTAAAGAGATTGTTAAACAATGACTAATGGTTGTTGGAATAATTACATTATTATACATACCCTTTTCCAAGTCCAGGCATTGCTTTCCATTGAGCCGATTTGAATCTATAACATAAAGATATTTCGAAGTGGCTTTTTAAATTTTTTTCTTATTTAAAACTAATATTAGGTTCATATAATTTAATTTAAAATTATAATTATCATAATTGAATGTCTATGACTAAATTTTTTTTAAGTGATATTACCTTTCTTCCTCACCTATTTTTTTTTCCAAATCGTTATCTGCCCTTATGTCCGCTACAATATTTCCTTTCTTTTCTAGCATTGTTTTGTTCTCATACGTGATGTTAAAGGAATCCTGGAAGAATTAGAAGAAACGTTTATTATTAGGTTGTTCCATTGGAAAAAAAAAGAAGAGAAAAATCTTAGTTGGTTGTGTGGATATTATCGCAAAACATCTAGGTCTCAGCGGACGATTAATAAGATAATTCTAATATTAAATTATTAAGTTAGTAGGATAAAAAAAAACATTAACAAAGAATATACAATAAAAAAAATAAATACATAAATGAATATGAAAGAATTTAAAATAATAAGCCCAAAAATAAAAAATAATACTATATGTATATATATATATATATATATATATATATATATATATATATATATATATATATATATATATATATATATATAATTATTATTTTTTTGATATAAAATACAATTAATACAATCAAAGTATATTCCATTTTTATATACCGTCAATAGCCATCTGCTAGCCAATTGCTAGATCCCACGCTGAGATACCATTCTTTGGGATGGCTGTCAAAGAACTCTTGTACTGCAATTTCAACTTCCGCAAAATTATCAAATTTTTTCCCTTGAAGAAAATGGGCTATGGATCTAAATAAGTAGCAACCCTATAGTGCGTGGTCTGGACTATATGGTGGATGAGGCAGGAGTTTTTCAGGCAAGAGTTTTTCAATAAATTTTCACAAATTTCTAACCTCTTAGCTGATTGCTGAGGAGTTAATTTGTGAGGGACCAGTCTACTGCTCTTTTTTACCTTTTCCGTGGAGAGTAGTTGGCGACTAACAGTATCTTTCGACACACCACCACACTCCGTGGCAAGTTCGCGAGTACTTGTGGACGGATTTGACTTAACCTGCAGAACCCCATTGAGTTTCCTGCAGAACCTCATCCAACGCCGTATCTCCACTGCTAAATTTTTCAAACCAACGCCTCGCAGTGCGCAGGTCAAGGACACCTGCTTCAGCGGCTGAGAATCTTTTTTTGCAGTAATGCCTTAAAATTATGACGATTTCGTAGGACACGGTCATGTTTCTTCTTTCAAACAAATAACTAAACTGAGGCTTGTTTTGAAGTAGTCGAATGGGATTGAACGAGCTTAGAGGATGCTCTAAAGGGATTATTAAGTAAAGGTAAATATTTTTAAAAATCATTTTAATGGAATTTACAACTGTATTACATAGAAAATACAATAATTAAATGTGAAATTGGTAACATGACATGTACAACACGAAGAGAAACTACCCATTGGTAGAACTCAAAAAAGGTAAATATAAAACAGGATTAAAGTATTTGCAGTCCTTTGAAATCCTGAATTTGATAAAACGGTCATTTTTTTTATACACGTTATTATATACATAATTAAAAAGATTTATATAGAAAAAAATCTAATTATATAAATAAATAAACTATATAAATAGAGAAATAGTAATGATATAAATATTTATTCTGGCTTACAATAAATTTGCCATCTACCTCGGTATTCAGCAAATATGATATTAAGGACTAATATCAATGAATAAATGATAGCATAAAAAAAAGTATATTAATAATAAAAAAAAGACAAAAAGAAAACAAAAAAAAAAGGTAGTAAAATAACACATAATAACACACAAAAAATAGATAGTACAGCTACAGGGCGGATTATATGGATTCGTGGCAGTAGAAAGAGCTTGAGGAAGTGGATTGGAATTTAGAGTCAGTCTGTCATGAAAATTATTAAACCGGTCAGTGGCAGTTGCCGTGATGAAAGGAGTGTTAAGGTCAGTGTGTAACGTGAGGTTTGATACATAAAAGGGTGTTTCTACAATTTTCCGAAGGACTTTTGACTGAATGATTTTTATATTTGATTTCTTTGCTGTTCCCCATAGTTCGATTCCCCATAGTTAAATAGAACAATAAAAATGGACCAAAAGTAATTAAATAAATAATATAAAAAATATACAACTAAATAAAAGTATCTATATATAAAAAAATATAGAATAAAATAATTATTATAATATCTTTTTTATTTAATGTACGTATCGGTTCTACTACCGTTGTTCCCCAATATTATCGATATTTTTTGCGAATTATGAAAATATGGACTATTATCAGAATACTCTTGCAATGATGGCATCCTGCATAGCTAGATGGTGCAGCTTTAGCGATGAGGTGGAGGTAAAAAATCTCATTTCTGGAAAATCTTATTCCAAATTTCTATAAACAAACCGTAAATAAATACAGGGAATATAATTCGTTCTTGTATACGATCCAAACTCTTCATTATATTAGGAAATATTTCATAATAAAAATAATAAAAATGAGCGATATGATATTCGATATACAAATATTTTTTATTTTGAGTGTGAAAGGATTACGTTTCCAGCAGGCGCTTTAGTTATACCATGCCGCATGACCAATCCGAGACTCCATTCACAGCATTATTATTATTTATTTATAATATAATATTATATCATAATAATAATATTGGTATAATATTATAAATAAATAAAAGAGATCAGCGTTTGATTTTTTTGTTATTTGACCATGTATAAAATATATTTTTATCTTCAGTAATTTTACTATATAATTATGAAAAGTTTCCCGGTCCCCAGAATAGTTTCAATTTTTGTTTTATCCAATTCTGAGAGGTTAACATTTATTCGTGACTAAAAATTATAAGCATAAATATGTATTAGTATTTTAATTTTTAATAATTGATATGATCTTGGATTTTTTTTTAATGAGATAATTGCAATGAAGTATTAAAAAGTCTACCATTATTATAAATTTTCGGAGAATTCGCTGGATAAACTAAATTCGATCTGGAAACACGAACATATTTTTTAGATTCATCCGAAATTAGTTTGGCTAATTATAGAACGTTAGTGCGTATTAAGTTTATAGTGTTGGATTAAACAGATTAGATTAAACGCATTATTACAGCACGTCATGAACGGTTATTTCATAAATGTATACCAATGGCGATTAACTATGCTGAAGGAAATCAGAATTATTCTTCTAAATTCATAGCGAATTTTTATCCAATTAATTCAGCCTATAATCTTTTTGAAATTGGAAATTCGAATAATATTACATGATTAAATGATGATAACTTTGAGACCCAATAATATTCAACTGATAAAGCAAACTCCCCATTTCAAATAAAAATTCATAAACTCTAAAAATATGTTACTCTCGATAATTCGCAAAATGCGCCAAACTACTCTCTTCTTGGAGCACATTTTGGTGTACTATATTGTCCTTTTTTTGGTCAGTAGTTTTTTTTTTTTTTAATTTTTGATGTGAAATGCGCTATTTGAGGTCTACATTTTTGCAATACTTTGATTGGTATTACTCGGTTTTAAGAGAATTAAGCCTTTGTTTTCAAATCTTTCTATCATTCCATGAAAATAAATTATATCATATATCATAACTCGACTTTAGCGATTTTTTAATTTTTTATTCAATTATTGAATTTTACAGCCCACATTTTTCTCTCTCTGTATTATTCTAAAGGGACTCGTCCCAGAATAAATAAAGCATTATTATTATTATTATTATAAATAAAATACAACAAGTATGTCTGCTATAAGAATATAATACATGGTAGGAACTTATGTAGAAACTACCCACACTTTAATACTTGCAATTTAATGATTAATTTAGGATGCCCTTAGTCATTTTTTAAGACGCTTCTGAGGGTTTTCAGGAATCGTTTTTGATGGATTACGATAATGAAGGAGTTTGAAATTAAAAGATGAACTTTGCAACAAATGGAATATTGAGTTATTTATGGATAATTTAATTTGTGACGTAACCAGGAGCAGTAAAGATTCTGAGGAGGATTTTCAGAGTTACGAGCCTTGTAGCAATCAGAATTTACAAGCAGTTTCTGGTAGCTTCAGTGTTGTGTAAAGATTTCAAGCAGTGTCGGCCTTAGACATTCGGCGCCCTCGGCCAATGACGTCACCCCGCCTTCCCCCGAAAATAACTTTTTTTTTTTTATTCATTGATATTTACAACTGTATTATAAAAAATACAGCTAGTAAATGTGGACTCATGATGTGGATTGTAATAACATGAAATCTCTTGTTGAGAAACTACCCACTGATAGCACTCGAATAATAAATTTACACAAGAAGATCACGGGGCCACCTTCTTTTCAGACGCTTCGGAGGGTTATCAGGGATCGAGGAGGAAGCAAGGTTTGAAACGAGAGGGTTCGGATGGTTCTGCAGTTTGTTATGGAAGGATAGGTATCTGGATTGGATTGGAAACATATGAAACATTGAGGTCTTTATGGATGATTTTATTTGTGACAAAGTAAGGAGCGTTCAGGATTTTATGAAGGATTTTGGATTGTAAAGATTGGATACGAGAGGGATTCGATGGTTTAGTGGAGCCGCAAAGCTCAATTCCGTAAGTCCAAATAGGTCTTATTACTGTCATATATATGAGTCGTTTGTAATTGATTGAAAGCTTAGGGCGTTTTTCTAGTAAGTGTTGTAGTAGTCGGAGCGGTTTCTTGTCGTTTCAGTCTTGTATGAGGATTCCGAGTGAGTCGTTAGTCCAGGTGGAGTCCTAGGTAGCGGATTTGTTCAACTAGGATTTGTGGGGAATCGTTAAAGGATACTAGGTCATATGTTTGCGACGCAGGGTAAAGGTAATTTGATGGGATTTATTGGAATTTTAATTTTAATTCTTCAGTTTTTACACTATTCTTCAAGGTTTGTGATATGCGAATGGAGAGTTTGGGATGCAGTTGATGGATCATTATTAGAAAAAGATTAAATGTGTTTCTTAAGCTGTTTTATATTATGTAATACTTGAATTTTACTTCATCCAATATTTCTCTAATAAAGTTGCTTTATTGATAGGTTAATATTAATTATTTTAATACGTTTTGTATTTTTTTTTTAATTTTTAACAAGTGGCGAGCGCCCCTGAAGATCGGCCAGCGCACATCGATGTCGGCGCCCCTAAGGCCGGTACTGATTTCAAGGAAGATACTTGTGAAGACTCAGCGGATCTGTTCGACAAGGATAAGTAGAATATTGTTGGACA